GCCTGGGGCGTAGCCGTAGGGGGTGCCCGTCTCGTCCGTATCCTCGCCCAGTTCCTCGGCGATGAGATTGTCGAAGCTGTTGAAGGGGCTGCCTGGGCGCGGCGGCGGTGCCCGCAAGTGAAAGGCGAGTCGGTCCTTGCACTGCATGCACACCGAGTGGCCGCACGGCTCGAGGCTCGCAAAGAGGGCCTCCTCCTGCTTGCGGAATGGCACGCCGTACAGGTGCGGTATGTATTCCGCGAAGCAAATCGGGCAGTCGCCGCGCGTGTCCGCCGGCTCGACGACGCCGCAGATCTGAAAGACCTGGAGGAGGAAGTTGGCGGCGCTGAAGTCGCAGCCCTCCACGCTCAGGGGCGAGTGGCCCAGCCGATCGTCGCTGCGGACGGCGGGGGCGAGGCGGGGTGGGGGGTGGGGGGGGGGGGGTAAAGGGGCGGCGGGTAAGGAGGAGGATGACCCGGGCGGCGGCCCGGTGAAACTCGGTGAAGGTTGGGAGAGCACCACCAGAGGGCGCGGGGGGTTGAAAGGCGGGGGAAGGCCAAGCCTGGGGAGGGGGTGGGGGGGTGGGGGGATCTACGCGCTCGCGCACAGCTGTTTGCACTCGCGCCACGTGAGCTTGCCCCACCGCTCGAGCACAACGCGAAGGGAGGCCGGCTCGACGACCATCCGCCGGTGCAAGTGGCGCGCGGCCGCCTCGTTCGACGGCAGCCGCGCCTCGACGGTCTGATCGGCGCGGAGGTGTGCATAGATGTCGACCTCGACGATGTGCTGGATCAGCTGCGCGTAGAGCATGAGGCGTACCGCGTGGGGCCGGTCGGCGAGCCACGCAAAGCAGTCGGCGTGCCGCGGCCGGTCGTACCCGTCGAGCACGTCGCGCGTGATGCAGTCGCAGCCGGGCCTTACCCACTTGCCCGCCTTCTCGGGCGGCGGCTCGCAGGCGGGCGCCAGACCTGCGCGGCGAGAACAAGGGTCGTGTGTGTGTGTGTGTGTGTGTGGTGTGCGCGTCGTGCCCGCCGCGTGAGTGCACGGGCTGTGCATGCAGAGAGTACAGCTGAACGCGTGCTCAGCTGAACGTCTCGAGTGTACGTCTCGAGTGTGGTGCACGGGGATTCGTAATCTAGGGCGCCAGACCCGGCTCGCCGAGGGCCTCGGCGGGCGGCTCCCCAAAGGTCAAGAAGGCGGCGCGGCGGCGCGGATCGCAGCGCTCCCCGAGCAGCTCCACCGCCTCGAGCTGGGCGAGCTGCCGCTCGAGCGTCGTGGTGGCCGAGCGCCCGTTCGCTCCCGCCGCCGCGCCGCTCGCCGCATAGCCCCACATGGCTGCGCCTTCGGCAGCGCCGTCCCGTTGCGGCGCAGCCTCGGTCACCTCGAGCCAGTAGTCGGCGCCTTGATCTTGGAGGAGGCAGGAGCCGGCTGGGAGGGCCGCCTCGGATATAAAACAGCTCGTCTTCTCGCCCCAAACGCCGGAGAGCTCCACGTGCACGCTTCCTTGCGAGCGGCCCAGCACGGCGGTCACTCTCGGCGT